GCGAATGATGAGGCGGATGAGGATGGGGATGAGGATGCTGATGGTCGGGAGGAGGAGAAGGAGGACAAGGAGGAGGAGGACTTGGAGACGGAGGATGAGTAGGAGGAGTACGAGGATGAGGAGGAGGAGGAGGAGGAAGATGATGCAGAGGATGCGGATGAGGATGAGTATTAGGACGATGATGATTGTGATGGCGATGATGAAGACGATGATGCTGATCATGGTGATGTTGATGATGCTGATGATGATGATGCTAATGAGTTTGTTGTTGATTATGATAATGCTGCTGATGATGCTGTTGATGACGATGATGTTGCTGCTGATGGTAGTAATGCTGAGGATGATGACGGTGGGGGTGGTTGTGGTGATGATGAGGATTAGTGGTTGTGGTACTGATGATGATGGTGGTGAGGGTAAGTATGCCGATGATGCTGTTGAGGATGATGATGCTGATGATGACGATGTTGCTTACGACGATGATGAAGACGATGGTGCTGATGGTGACGATGATGACGATGCTGCTGGCGATGATGATGATGATACTGCTGCTGATGATGATGATCATGATGATGATGATGATGATGATGATGATGATGATGATGATGATGATACTGCTGATGCGAATGATGTTGCTGTTGGTGATGGTGCTGATGATGCTGATGATGATGCTGTTGATGATGATGCCGATGATGATGCCGATGATGATGATGATGATGATGATGATGATGATGATGATGATGATGATGATGATGATGATGATGATGATGATGATGATGACGATGACGACGACGACGACGATGATGAGCACGAGGAGGAGGAGGAGGAGGAGGAGGAGGAGAAGTAGGAGGAGTAGGAGGAGCAGCGAATTCGGAGGGCGGGGGGGGGCTGCGCAACGTTGTTCCAACTTCGGGGACCTGCTGGACGAACCCTATGCACGACACAGGCGTCCTGGGCGCAGTTTTGGGAAGGCACTTCGAGGGCTTCCAAGGCAACTTCGTACTCGCGCGTAAGCCTCTTGCCTTGTTGATCGGGTGAGTCGCGTGCTGCCTCTTGGCATTCCCCCCGCTTCGGCGCCAGGGCAAGCGACATCGACTTCGGTGCAAGATCAAGGAATGGGGTCGGGCGGCCCCCGCTTACTCTCCCGAGCTGGCGATGTTCCCATATCCATACAAAGGGCACCGCCTTCTCTTACCCCATGCTGTAATTACCCTGCGTGTGGATCAGTGTGCCCGATCGTTACCCAATGACGCCCGCTGATAGCCAAGCTGCTACCATTGAGAGCTATCAGGGCAGCATCTGAGGCACGGGAACTATGTGGAAGTTCTACCTCCTCCCCCCTTCTCCCCGCGTCCCCGAGAAGGAGGATGATGAGGAGCTGGCGGGGAGGAGGAGGTGTAGGAGGAAGAGGATGAGGAGGGGGAACAGGGTGAGGATGATGATGATGATGAGGAGGAGGAAGAACCTGAGCATAACGTGGATGAGGATGAAGATGGTGAGGAGGAGAAGCATGATGACAACGATGATGGTGATGATGATGCTGATGATGCTGATGCTGATGATGATGCGGATGGTGATATTGATGATGATGCTGACGAGTACGATGATGGTGATGAGGCCGATGATGCTGATGAGGATGATGATGCGGGTGCTGATGATGCTGCGGATGATGGTGGTGGTGATGATGAGTATGATGATGGTGATGTTGATGATGATGATGATGATGATGATGATGATGATGCTGGTGGTAATGATGATGATGATGCTGATGTGGATGATGATGCCGATTATGATGAGGAGTATGATGATGACCATGCTGCTGATGATGATGCTGATGACAAGATGCTGATGATGATGATGATGAGGATGATGATGATGATGATGCTGATGCTGACGATGCTGATGATGATGACGATGATGATGCTGCTGCTGATGATGATGATGATGATGATGATGATGCTGATGATGCTGATGATGATGATGATGATGATGGTGATGATGATGATGATGATGATGAATATGATGATGATGAGGAGGAGGAGGAGGAGGGCGAGGAGGAGGCGGATGAGGAGGAGGAAGGGGAATAATGAGGAAAGGAGAGGGTACCCTGCGAACGCAGCAGGCGCTCGTGGCGCCCATCTCGACATCCACTCCAACCCGTGTTCGTTTCCTCATCATCTTTCTGATGTTTCTTCTTGCTTCTTATTGCTTCGCTTCTGCAGCACTAGAGGCATACGGGGCACACTGGGCATGCGATGATTATTTTATCGTGTGGATGCAGCTAGCGCGAAAGCAATAATCGAGCCAACAGTTCTAATGAAGCCGAAGCGGTCGAATACCGTTTGAAACAGCCTGGGAAGCAATCCGTGATGCGCATGAGCCACATTCGAGGTCCATCGCACCCCCATTCTGTTCAGATATTGAGGGGGCCGTTGCGCAGGCGATGGCATTCTCCCCTCGTCATGCGACGGCATGCTCCTCTCGTCATGCGAGGGTCCTCCCTCGTGCTCTGAGGACCACGACCTGTAGTGGATAAAGTTGGAATCGCGGCCCCGCACCGTGCAGGAGGAGGAGGAGGAGGAGGAGGAGGGGAGGAGGGAGGAGGAGGAGGACAAGAAGGAGGAGGAGTCCTCGCTCCTCGCTCATCGCTCCCTCCCCCCTTCCTCTCCCTCTCTCCTCACCCTGCTCTGGCCTCTCCTCCTGCCCGTCACTCCTCATTCATCGCCCCTTTCATCCCCACTCCTCCTCATCCTCATTCTTCCCATCTTCCTCATACTTCTCCTCTCCTAGTCCACCTGCGTTCCCTCTCTTTCGGTCTCGTCGTCGTCCTCCCTCCCCTTTCTTCTCCTCCTCCTCCTCCTCCTCCTCCTCCTCTTCCTCCTCCTCCTCCTCCTCCTCCTCCTCCTCCTCCTCCTCCTCCTCCTCCTCCCCCTCCCCCTAGACCTCCGAAGACTAGCTCCTTTCGAGTCGTCGGTCCCCGGCTTAGGACCCATTCCCCAGGGTTATGTGTTCCTAACCAATGTGTAGTGTTGGGTCTTCGATTTGAAGAGACGGTCCCCGTGTTCTCCCCTTCCTCCCCCCTCCTTGCGCTTCACCCACCCAGTACAGCGTTTCGTGGCCCCCATTGGGAACTCCACCGAAGGCCCCAGTGGCACCGCCCGCATGCGTCACCCACACCCATTTCGGCACCCCTCACACGCTTCGTGGCCCCATAGGGAGCTCCACCGAAGGCCCCAGCAGTACCGCCCGCATGCGTCACCCCCCACCCAGTACAGCGCTTCGTGGGCCCATAGGGAGCTCCACCGAAGGCCCTAGTGGCACCGCCCGCATGCGTCACCGCCACCCAGTAAAGCGTTTCGTGGCCCCCCTAGGGAGCTCCACCGAAGGCCCCAGTGGCACCGCCCGCATGTGTTTCCCCCACCCAGTACAGCGTTCAGTGGCCCCCTAGGGAGCCTCATCGAAGGCCTCAGTGACACCGCCCGCATGCGTCACCCACACCGAGTATAGCGTTTCGTGGCCCCATACGGAGCTTCGCCACAGGCACCAGCGACACCGCCCGCATGCGTCACATCCCCACCCAGTACAGCGTTTCGTGGCCCCCTAGTGAGCTCCACCGAAGGCCCCAGTGGCATCGCCCGCATGTGTTTCCCCCGCCCAGTAACAGCGCTTCGTGGCCCCCTAGGGAGCCTCATCGAAGGCCTCAGTGACACCGCCCGCATGCGTCATCCCCCACCCAGTGCAGCGCTTCGTGGCGCCATAGGGAGCTCCACCGTAGGCCCCAGTGGCAACGCCCGCATGCGTCACCCACACCGAGTACAGCGCTTCGTGGCCCCATAGGGAACTTCACCACAGGCACCAGCGGCACCGCCCGCATGCGTCAAACCCCCACCCAATACAGCCTCGTGCCCCCCTACGGAGCTCCACCGAAGGCCCCAGTGGCACCGCCCGCATGTGTTTCCCCACCCAGTACAGCGTTCAGTGGCCCCCTAGGGAGCCTCATCGAAGGCCTCAGTGACACCGCCCGCATGCGTTACCCCCACCAAGTGCAGCGCTTCGTGGCCCCATAGGGAGCTCCACCGAGGGCCGCAGTGGGCAGTGGCACCGCCCGCATGCGTCACACCCCCACCCAGTACAGCGTTTCGTGGTCCCCTAGGGAGCTCCACCGAAGGCCCCAGTGGCATCGCCCGCATGTGTTTCCCCCACCCAGTACAGCGTTCAGTGGCCCCATAGGGAGCTGCTCCGAAGTCCCCAGTGGCACCGCCCGCATGCGTCACACCCCACCCAGCACAGCGCTTCGTGACCCCATAGGGTGCTCGATCGAAGGCCCCAGTGGCACCGCCCGCATACGTCACCCACACCCAGTGCAGCGCTTTGTGGTCCCATTGGGAGCCCAACGGGAGGCCCCAGTGGATGCACATGCATGCGTCGCCCCCGCCCAGTGCAGCGCTTCGTGGCCCCATAGGAGCTCCACCGAAGGCCCCAGTGGTGGTGTTCGCATGCGTTCCCCCCACCCAGCACAGCGCTTTGCGGCCTCATGGGAGCTGCATCGAAGGCCCCGGTGGCTGTACTCGCATTCGTTTCCCCACCCATTACATTGTTTCGTTGCCCCATAGGGAGCTCCACCGAAGGCCCACTGGCGGCCCCGCCCCACTGCGGCGCACCCCTCACACTCTTCGTGGCCCCGTAGCGCGGTCCGCCTAAAGCACCAGTGGTAGCGCCTACATGGCGGCCCCGCCTTACATCGGCACACCCTCGCATGCTTCATGGCCCCGCGAGGAGATCCTCCGAAGGCGATACCCGCAACGACGGTACTCACAACTGTATATGGTTGGGTTCTTCGCCAGGATAATTTCACTCCGAGTCGTCTCTTGAATGGTCTGGACGCGCCAAAATTAGCGCAGATCATCCAGGTCTCTCTTTCCCCCCTGCGTTTGCCCCATAGCTCTTCGGGCTTGAACCGATTCGGCCTGCACGTCGGCGGTCCGCACGAGCCGAACCTCGGGATGACGTCCACGCGGGAGAACGGCATGGCTTGGGCGATGCGGAGGGGGGGGGAGGAGAAGGAGGGATGGATCTGGACCAGGAGAAAGGAGAACGATAAGGCGAGTCAGGGTAACGGAAGACGGGGAGGAGGGAGGAGGAATAAGGATTACGAGAAGGAGAATCAGGAGGGGGGGAGGATCGGTAGCAGGATAACAAAGAGGAGGAGGAGGACGGACGGACGGACGGACGGACGGACGGACGGACGGACGTCGTTGATGATGATGATGATGATGATGATGATGATGATGATGCTGATGTTGATGTTGATGATGATGATGATGATGCTGATGTTGATGTTGATATTGACGTTGTTGTTGCTGCTGTTGGTGATGATGATCATGCTAAGGATCGTGATGGTGATGATGATGCTGATGATCATGCTGATGCTGATGATGGAGGTGGTGATGATGACGATGATAATGCTGATGATGCTGATGAATATGATGATGACGATGACGATGACGATGATGAGGCTGATGGTGAGGATGAGGATGCAGATGATGATGCTGATGATGATGGCGATGGTGGTGGTAATGATGACGATGATGGTGGTGATTGTGGTGATGCCGCTGATGAAGATGATGATGATGATGATGATGATGATGATGATGCTGGTCATGACGATGACGATGATGATGATGATGATGATGATGCTGATGATGACGATGACGATTACGACGATGACGATAATGATAATGAGGGTGATGAAGAGGACGAGGATGACAATTAGGATGATGACGATGGTGTTTGTGGTGATGTTGACGATGATGGTGGTGATTGTGATGATAATATTGGCGATCACGATGATGATGAAGAAAAATATGCTTATGATGATGCTTATGACTATGATTATGGTATTAATGATGATGGTGTTACTGCTGCGGACGATGATGATGATGATGATGATGATGATGATGCTGATGATGACGATGACGATTACGACGATGACGATAATGATAATGAGGGTGATGAAGAGGACGAGGATGACAATTAGGATGATGACGATGGTGTTTGTGGTGATGTTGACGATGATGGTGGTGATTGTGATGATAATATTGGCGATCACGATGATGATGAAGAAAAAGATGCTTATGATGATGCTTATGACTATGATTATGGTTTTAATGATGATGGTGTTACTGCTGCGGACGATGATGATGATGATGATGATGATGATGACGATGTTGGTGGTGATGGTGATGGTGATGGTGATGGTGATGGTGCTGCTGATGATGATGATGATTATGATGGTGGTGAGAGGGAGGAGGAGGGAGGAGCAGGAGGGGGAGGAGGAGCAGGAGGAGGAATGAGGAGGAGTTGGACTAGGATGAGGATGAGGAGGATGAGGTGAGGATTACGATGATGATGCTGATGCTCATGCTGATGCTCATGATGATGGTCATGCTGCTGATGATGATGAGGATGCTGATGATGATGCTGATGATAATGCTGATGATGAGTATGATGATGATGACTATGATGATTACGATGATGCGTATGATGCTTATGCTGATGATGGTGCTGATGATGATACTGATGATGCTGATAATGATGATGATGATGATAATGACGATGATGACGAGGATGATGATGATGATGATGATGATGAGGAGGAGGAGGAGGAGGATTACGATGATGATGATGATGATGATGATGATGATGATGATGATGATGATGATGGTGATGATGATGATGATGATGGTGATGGTGATGGTGATGGTGATGGTGATGGTGATGGTGATGGTGATGGTGATGGTGATGATGATGATGATGGTGGTGGTGGTGGTGGTGATGATGGTGATGATGATGATGGCTTGACGATGACGGCGCGCCCTACGGACACGTTTGGAGGGGGTGTGACAGGGAGGATTGATTTATTTGAACAGGATTGGACGAGGAGGCCCTGATATCCGCCGATATGTTTTTGTTTCAATCCGCGGCCCCAGAGTTACGACCGCTTTCCCTGTGGTAGGTTTTTCGCAACGGATCCACACTACGTAGATGGTCCTGGGGCCCGATAACGAGCCCGAGAGGCCAAAGTCGAAGTACAACGCCGGGATTGAACAAACTCATCTCGTCGGAGATTTTGGTATGCAGGATGGGGCGGAGGGGTGTCGGCGCGTCGTCTGCGGCCCCCTAGGCGAACCACACGAACAGCGAGTACGCACCTGTCGACGACGACGCCCTGGCAGAAGTCCCGCACCTGGGGGTACAGACAGATATCGATGCCGCTACGCCCCAGACTCGAATCTCGAGGCGAACCCAGCCGTGGCAATGAGGGCCTCCTCCCATGAGGTCCGAAAAGGCATGAAAAGGCGAAAACGAGGCAAGGGTAGCGGAATCCCCAGACAGCCGACGCCATGATTTGTTTCACAACGTGGCTCCACAGGGGCCTGCTTTTATCCTGAGTGGTTTTTTGGCGGTCCGGGGGCCTTGCGAGGGCCCCCGGAGGCCGAAAGCAAGAGAAAACCTTCCGTCGTATGTTTGCTACGACGCGAAGGGGTCAGTACGGAGGAGGAGGAGTGAGGAGGAGGAGGAGGAGGAGAAGTTTCGGGCCCGTGGAGCGCACGGATCCCCTTAGATGCATGCAACATTTAAAATGGAGGAGGAGGAGGAGGAAGAGGAGGAGGAGGAGCAGGATGGAGCAGGATGGAGCAGGAGCAGGAGCAGGAGGAGGGAGAAGCAGTAGGAGGAGGAGGAGCAGGAGGACGAGCGGCAGCAGGAGGAGGAGGATCAGGAGGAGGCGTGGGACGGCGGAGGACGGTATCGGCACCCCTTGCCTCCCCTGAGGTCCAGGGAGACCTCCCCGGCGACGGTGCGCTGCTCGAGCGCCGCGGGCGGTCGTCGGCGACTACCAAGGGTGTGTTTACGCCGGGATGTGGTTTGCGATTTGCCTCGTTAGGGGTTGCGGGGGCACCACGCTGCCCTCGCCGGGTCTCCTCGGGGCCCGGCGGAGAACCCTTGTCGAGGTTGCCCGCACACCAGGGTGCGTTCGGTAGCAATTCCTGAGGACCTTGCGTGCCATCGTCATTCAGTCTTGGGAGTACACTAGCGTCGATGGACGTCTGGTAATCGATCGATGAGATAGCACCAATTTAGCGTCGAGCAGCGTCGAATCAGCGTCGACTTAGCGTCGATGAGCCAGAGCCGTAAAGGTGGTGTGTGAGGCTCCCATGAGTTGCCACAGAACCCTCTGCAAACGACACCCCTCGGAGTCGCCGAGGTCGCTGCTGCCCGCCGGGGACGCCGGCCGCCCCCGGCTGTGGCTGGCCGCGCTGGCCGCCCTGGTGGTGCTGGCCGCGGCGTGCACTGCGGCCGCGGCCCGCGAGAGGCACCGCGGCCGCGTGGAGCGCAGCGGGCGGGGCCCTCCTCGGGGGCGGCCACAGAGGGGGGTGATGAAGACCAGGGGTGTGTGTGTGTGTGTTGTGTTGTGTTGCGTGCAGATAAGTCAGTTAGTCAGGAAATAAGTAAGGATGGAAAGAAGGAAGGAAGGAAGGAAGGAGTTTCGTGTGTGTATGTGTATGTGTCAGTGCGTGCGTGTAGTGGTTTATGCGAGTATGTGTGAGCGTGTGTGTGTGTGTGTGTGTGTGTGTGTGTGTGTGTAAGTGTCTGTGTGTAAGCGTGTATATCATGGCCTGGGGCATATACCTCGCCGGATGTTATGGCCATACATTATTCTTATTATGTTTCATGTTATGTTTCTTTTTCTATCAATGCGTCCGCTGGTTCCCCCCTCGTCCGCGCACATGTCCCAGCCATTATTTGCGACCCCTCCTGTTGGACGCCCCCGATCTTCCAAAAGTACCCCACAGGACCCATCTCGATCCGATCGATTCGATTCGATATCGGTTCTAGCAGGCCCGATCCGATTATACATATATATATATATATATATATATATATATATATCAGGTCCGCGATGCCGCCGGATGCATGCATGCATGTTTTTTTTGTGCATCATGGCGCAGCCGATCCGATTCGACTTCGACTCCGTGCCGACTTCGACTCCGTGGCTGGGGTGGGGTGGCGAGGGAAGACAAGGTGTCCAGTCTAGAGGCTTGCAGGCCATCCTGCCACCGTGCCTGGGTCGTGGGCAAAAGGCCTCTCAGAGGCCCTGTGGGGTCTGTTGCTCTTGGAGACTTCTTTTGGGTTTCTCGAGAGCCCTTTGGACGTGTCGTGGAGGCCCTCCGCGGCGGGGGTGTTCTTGGGGCCTCTGGGCCTCTTCGGGGCGTCTTTGGGACCTGCTAGCGGTCTCTGCGGGGCATCTTGAGGAGGCCTTGCGGGGCCCCTTCGAGTTCACCAGATCTGCGGCTTACCCTAAGCCTCCCTTTGGGGCTCTCTTGATTGGGTATTGGAGGTCTGCTGGGCCGTCTTAGCGGCTCTTCAGACTGAAAAGGCGAATATTTAAGAATCATGTGACTAACCATAGGTAGTCCACTTATTTTGGTCTCGTATGCTTGGTGCGTTCGGTGCGCACCGTGTGCTGCTACTATGTCTGGGGCGCCTGGTGGGCCCTCTGTGCCTCGAGTGCCTCGCGTTCGAGGCTGAACGCCCCGTGGAGGGCCACTTTGCTTTACCTCGGAGGCCTGACGGTCGGCCTGGCGTCTATGCGGCCGCCGTCGCCGCCCCGTCGCCGCCGTCGCCGCTCGCCGCCGCCGTTAGAATGCACCGCATAGACTGCTATGCGTTGCTTTGCACTTCTTGGCATTGCTTGGCATTGCTTGGCACTGCTTGGCGCTGCTTGGCATTGCTTGGCATTACTGTGCACTGCTTTGTCTTGGTTGGCATTGGTTTGCTTTGCTTTGCATTGCCTTGTATTGCATTGCATTGTGTTGCTTTGCTTTGCAGTACTCTGCGTCACTTTGCATAGCTTTGCCTTGTGTTGCGTATAGTTGCATTGCATTGCGTTGCTTTTCCTTGCTTTGCATTCAGTGCTTTGCGTGTTTTGCCATGATTTGTACTGTTGTGCGTTGCTTTGCATGGCATTGCTTTGCGTTGGTATGCATTGATTTACCTTGCTTCGCATTGCTTGGCATTGCTGTGCTTTGCTTTGCCCAGCTTCGCATTGCTTTACAGTGCGTTGCATTTCTTTGCAGTGCGGTACCTTGCTTTGATTTGGTTTGCATTGCATTGCTTTGCATTGCGTTTCTAGGTACGCGCGTCAGATTGTACAGTGTGTGTGTGTGTGTATACATATGTATCTGTATTGCACCACGCAGATGGCACCATGCAGAGTATTAGGATATACCCCCTGGTCTTTTCGGTCTGGTTTTTTCGTATGGCTATTCTTGACGCTTCGCGTATCCCCACCAGTGTGGACGGTCTGCGTGTCCCGCGGGTTCTCCTGTGGCTTGCCTCCCGGCGCCGGGCTCCCTGGGGGGCTGCCGCTGGTCCTGGGTCCGCCCTCTGTGGCTCTGGTTCTCTTGCATCTCGATTCTGTCGGTCTGCGGTGGCGGTGGCACCACCCACTCCATCGTGGTCCACATGTGCCGGCGCACTGCCGGGATGTGGATGCTCTGTGGGTGCCCCCGTCGTCCGTGGCAGCGTTGTGTTCTGGGGACTCACCTTTCGCGGCGAGGTGTTCCCCCCCAGGAGGCACGTCCAGCGCTGCCACACTCCAGCTCAGACCGCATCGGCGAGGTTCTGCCACCCCCCCATCGTTGACAGATGATGACGTCCCAGAGGGGACTCGAGAGGCGGCAGTGGATGGGAACCCCAGAGAGGGCCACGAGGAAGCTAATCAGCCCACAGATGCGGATTGCGCTGTCCACCCACCATGGGGACAGGCGCCTGTTCCGCCCAACGCAGTGGCGGGTCTCTCCCTTGAGACACCGCCAGATGTCGTGGGAAGTGGCGGCCTTACACATGTGGCACTGCGGCTGGTGGCTGCACCCCCCTCCTCCTGTGTCCATACAAATGTGTATGTGGCTGTTGGCCGCGCCTCCCCTTTTCCTCCTCCTCCTCCTCCTCCTCCTCCTTTCCGACACATGTGGCAGGCACACTCTGCTGGCTCACGCTTGGTATCGGCATCGCCCTCGTGGGGGTCCTGTGAGTGGCGGTGGGTCTCTGGCAGCAGGCCCGTTACGGCCCGGCTAACGCGGCCTGCGGGTGGGATGCCTCCGGGCCCACCGGCCCTGGTCGCACGCGGGGGCTGCTGTCCCTCTGGCCCGGGGCCTCCCGCGGGGGTCAAGGCACCCTCGCATCCCCGTTCTGGCTGCCAAGGGCCTTTCATCGCCTCCCCCCGTGCTCGCCGCGTCTTGGCCGCCACCGGACACTGGTCCGGGACTGCAGTGTGGACGGTTTGCGTGTCCCGCGGGTTCTCCTGCGGCTTGCCTCCTGGCGCCGGGCTCCCTGGGGGGCTGCCGCTGGTCCCGGGTCCGCCCTCTGTGGCTCTGGTTCTCTTGCATCTCGATTCTGTCGGTCTGCGGTGGCGGTGGCACCACCAACTCCATCGTGGTCCACATGTGCCGGCGCACTGCCGGGATGTGGATGCTCTGTGGGTGCCCCCGTCGTCCGTGGCAGCGTTGTATTCTGGGGACTCACCTTTCGCGGCGAGGTGTTCCCCCCCAGGAGGCACGTCCAGCGCTGCCACACTCCAGCTCAGACCGCATCGGCGAGGCCCTGCCCCCCCCCCCATCGTTGACAGATGATGACGTCCCAGAGGGGACTCGAGAGGCGGCAGTGGATGGGAACCCTAGAAAGGGCCACGAGGAAGCTAATCAGCCCACAGATGCGGATTGCGCTGTCCACCCACCATGGGGACAGGCGCCTGTTCCGCCCAACGCAGTGGCGGGTCTCTCCCTTGAGACACCGCCAGATGTCGTGGGAAGTGGCGGCCTTACACATGTGGCATTGCGGCTGGTGGCTGCACCCCCCTCCTCCTGTGTCCATACAAATGTGTATGTGGCTGTTGGCCGCGCCTCCCCTTTTCCTCCTCCTCCTCCTCCTCCTTTCCGACACACGTGGCAGGCACACTCTGCTGGTTCACGCTTGGTATCGGCATCGCCCTCGTGGGGGTCCTGTGAGTGGCGGTGGGTCTCTGGCAGCAAGCCCATTACGACCCGGCTAACGCGGCCGCGCGGGTAAGATGCCTCCGGGCCCACCAGCCCTGGTCGCACGCGGGAGCTGCTGTCCCTCTGGCCCGGGGCCTCCCGCGGGGGTCAAGGCACCCTCGCATCCCCGCTCTGGCTGCCAAGGGCCTTTCATCGCCTCCCCCCGTGCTCGCCGCGTCTTGGCCGCCACCGGACACTGGTCCGGGACTGCAACGGTCTGCGTGTCCCGCGGGTTCTCCTGTGGCTTGCCTCCTGGCGCCGGGCTCCCTGGGGGGCTGCCGCTGGTCCCGGGTCCGCCCTCTGTGGCTCTGGTTCTCTTGCATCCCGATTATGTCGGTCTGCGGTGGCGGTGGCACCACCCACTCCATCGTGGTCCACATGTGCCGGCGCACTGCCGGGATGTGGATGCTCTGTGGGTGCCCCCGTCGTCCGTGGCAGCGTTGTATTCTGGGGACTCACCTTTCGCGGCGAGGTGTTCCCCCCCAGGAGGCACGTCCAGCGCTGCCACACTCCAGCTCAGACCGCATCGGCGAGGTTCTGCCACCCCCCCATCGTTGACAGATGATGACGTCCCAGAGGGGACTCGAGAGGCGGCAGTGGATGGGAACCCTAGAGAGGGCCACGAGGAAGCTAATCAGCCCACAGATGCGGATTGCGCTGTCCACCCACCATGGGGACAGGCGCCTGTTCCGCCCAACACAGTGGCGGGTTTCTCCCCCGAGAGACCGCCAGATGTCGTGGGAAGTGGCGGCCTTACACATGTGGAATTGCGGCTGGTGGCTGCACCCCCCTCCTCCTGTGTCCATACAAATGTGTATGTGGCTGTTGGCCGCGCCTCCCCTTTTCCTCCTCCTCCTCCTCCTCCTCCTCCTTTCCGACACATGTGGCAGGCACGCTCTGCTGGCTCACGCTTGGTATCGGCATCGCCCTCGTGGGGGTCCTGTGAGTGGCGGTGGGTCTCTGGCAGCAGGCCCGTTACGGCCCGGCTAACGCGGCCTGCGGGTGGGATGCCTCCGGGCCCACCAGCCCTGATCGCACGCGGGGGCTGCTGTCCCTCTGGCCTGGGGCCTCCCGCGGGGGTCAAGGCACCCTCGCATCCCCGTTCTGGCTGCCAAGGGCCTTTCATCGCCTCCCCCCGTGCTCGCCGCGTCTTGGCCGCCACCGGACACTGGTCCGGGACTGCAGTGTGGACGGTCTGCGTGTCCCGCGGGTTCTCCTGTGGCTTGCTTCCTGGCGCCGGGCTCCCTGGGGGGCTGCCGCTGGTCCCGGGTCCGCCATCTGTGGCTCTGGTTCTT